TTTGACCACTGTAAGAACTTTTGTAAATGTTACAATGTACCCCACCAAGCACAACAATTAAAACACAAACCAGTTATCTTTTATAATGAATCCCACTAAGCACTGAATAAAGGGGAAGAAGGAGGAGGGGAATGGAAGCATCATGAAGTGTTCATGGAACACTGTTCACATGTATGGAATTATCACAGCGAAATCCTTTCATATTATTAATGTATGATAATTCAAAAATGAAATAAATTTTTTAAATTGCAAGAAAGATAAAAAAGAGGGGATTGAGGGAATGGAGATAAGAAAGAGGGGGTGAGAATAATCAAAATATATTATATATGTATATGGAAATGCCACAATAAAACCTCCCACATTGTATAAGTAATATGCACAGTAAAAGTGTGGGTAAAAAGAAAAAAAATTAATAAATGAATTTAAAGTTAATCTTAAAGCGCTCACTTGAAATACAACTTGTTAAAAGTGTGTGTCATTTCTATGACAGAAAGTCCGGCAGAGTAGTTAAGAGACTCAATGTTTGGAGCCCAACTACGTGGGCCTCAGAGTCAGCTCTATTACTCAATAGTGTATGAACTTGGAGGAGTTACTTTCCCGCCTATGTCCCAGTTTCTATATCTGCAAAATGAGGATAGTAATAATCACTACTTCAGTGGTTGCTAGAATTGAGTCTGGCAAGTTAATACTATAAAAGTAAGTAGTGTGTATATACATCAGTTTGATATCATTCTTATGTTCATGGAATGATTTTATGAGAAAAAATAAGCGTATAATGATGACAAAACTGAACATGACATCAGAAATCTTGTAATTTTGTACTTTTATTGCTTCTTTGTGATTATGCCAAAGTAATTTGTCCCTTTGGACTACTTTTATTCCTGGCAAAAAAGGAAGAACTACTACTCATTCCATTTCTAAAAATCCTGAAATTCTGTGATTAGATAGAAAAATTGCATATGCATCTGTGCTGCTATCATGAATCCAAGCAAAATCCTTCCCCATGCAACTTGAAACATGTCTTCATTTTTGTACAGCTTGGCAATTTCATACTAAGAATAGAACCAATAGGTAAATAGTGACTCCTTTATTAATATACTACACAATTAGCTTTATGAATTAATTATTCTTTGGTACCTTCCAGGCTTTGAGAACAGAGGTGAGCTCAAATTAAATGATTAATGAATGCTTTTGGTTATCTTCTGACTGTTTTGAATAGTTCTGAGATCAACACTGGAGTTAATTTTATTAATAGCACAACACGATCAATCTGAAAATTTCAGTTCCCTTAAATACCTTTACTGAAACATTTCACCAAGTAATGTTTTTCCTAGAAACTATTACAAAAACCACATAAAACATCTGATGAACAAATAGGATGAAGCAGAGAATTCACTTTAAACATTACCTTACCACACTAATACTCTGACTCATCTTAAAGACTGCTGCCAAATTACCTCACTTTTTGTGCAGCCCAAGAAAGCAAGAAAATTCCATTGTTATAGTCATAGTACTTACTGGTTCTTAACAGTTATTCCCGTGCATGTCCACTCACAAGCAATTGTACATGCTAGTGTGTCCCTATAGCCATGTCTTCTGAGCTGAATATGAAGTAGGCTCATCCACTCAGCACACACACTTGTAGCATAATAGTCATGCACTAATATATAGGTTTGTAATAACAACTGTGCAACATTGCCCATGATTGTTTTGAGTTATCCAATAAAATATATAAGCATATGTGATAACTGACAAATAGTAGATAACAAATGAGTTACTGTATCAACATGCTATTTTATATGTAATGTTTATTACATACAAAATCACTTGGATATAAGCACAAAGTCAGCTGAAAATAATTAATATTGATTTTCTAAATATCACCCAGAATATTCTCATTTATATCGATAACAATCACAATAGCATCAGTGACCTAATGTAATCAATTGTCTTGAATAAGTTCATATATCACACCTGTACCTAACAATTTCCAAAGTGTACTATGATGGTTACATTTGATGCTGTTTGTAATTTTTAAAATCATTTAATAAAAAAGTAGTTCTCTTTTCCCAAAAGACTATAGAAAAAAAAAAAAGGAATGGTTGCAAACATTTTCTGATTTTAGGCAGAAATTTTGAGTAGTGAATTAATGTGGCACACGTTTATAAAGAGATGAGCCAGCATGTTGATGACTTCCAGAGCACATTCACTGCCTGGCTCTCTCTCCTTCCACATGTGCAGGGAACCAGAATGCAGGATGTCATTATTAGAGAATGCCATAGGAAAGGACAGTGCAAATTGCCAAAATTTATACTGCTTATCAAACAATAGGAAAATAATGTTCAATGTTTAATATTACTTTTCAGCAGTTCACTAGGGTACATTTCTTCAGAATGAACATCTCTGATAGATCCAGCACCACAGGGATAATAAGAAATGGAATGCTTGGTGTTATTTACTAAATATTTCTCTGATTGCAATTATGTTTTTGCATTTTTAGCATAAAAGACTCAGAAATCAGGTCTGGAAACAAAGAACATCTTTAGTGGCAAGATAGCCAATTAACTGTAATGAATAATCAATAATCCTTTTCTTTTCTCAACTACGTGGGTTAGGTTACAGATTCACTGAATTTTGCTGTGGTCTTCTGCCATGAAATTTGACATCCCGTTTTCATTTGATCATGCTTTTCTAGTCTCATATCTAAATTCGAAACAACGCATAGCTTCCCCCAGAAATGTTACATGTCTGTTTGTTCCTCCTCATTTTCCTTTGCCCAATTTTAGACCAGACCTTCATTATCTCAAACCTCCAGGTTTGCTCTGGCCTTTGCCAATTCAATTGAATCCTTCATATCAAAACTTGATCAGCCTTTTCTTAAATGCTTCCTTCATCATTTCACCCCTAGGCTCCACAACAGATAGTTGGCTTTTGTATCTGCTCATAGCCAACAATAGGAAGTATAAACTTTAAATTTTCATTTCACATTAACTTAATGTCTGTTTTCCTCACATTTTGCTGTCTTCTGTGATTTGTATTATTTCCTAAGAATTTTCCCTTTTTCTCCCCACTAGACGTAACACGACTCTGGGTTAATCCTTCAAAATGAAGTTCAAAGCACCTTCTCTCGAGAGATTTCATTCATGTCTCCTTTACTTAACTTGATTCTGTATGTTGCTCAATTCTCTCCATATCTCAGCTACATAATTTAATACAATATAAATAAACAATATTGTTTTTTATATAGAGAGGTATGTATCAATCCACATTTACAGGAATGTATTTTTATTCTTTTATGTGAAATATAAAATCATATTTCATATTAGTTTTGAAACTTCAACTAGATTGCAAGTGCATTATAGGAAGTTTTCCTATAGGACAACTGATGTTCTAATTTGTTCATCTTAGAATCTACTCATCAATAAATGTGTTTTAGTTGATTAATCATTAACTATACCTTAATGTTTTGCTTTTCAGTTTATACATATTTTGCTTTTGTCTTATACTCAGAATTATTTAGAACCAGAAGGTACCACTGGTAGATTGTTTTATTGTTTATAATTATTTACTTCCTCCTTCCCTTTGTGTGGAATATACTTACCCATCCCATTGATTTTGGGATTGTCCATGAGACTTGCTTTGGTTAGATGGGATGTATGCCACATCTAAGCAATCGTCTGCAGCCCCTTTTGCAATTAATCTTTGCAGTGAGAATAGCTGAACCCAAGCTGGGCTGCTCTTCAGTCTGGCCCTGGGATTGGAAACCCCATAGAGTAGGTCTACAGTTGACCATAGGCTCATAGCAGAACACAGTCAATAACAGCCCTTGTGTTTTACGCATGAGTACTAGTGTATTTTAAATCTCATGCTTTGGAGGTTTTTATTTTTTTCTTTTGCTACACAGAAAAGCTGACTAATACACAACCTTAGAACTAATCTAACTCCCTTGTTTTTCAGATAAGGAGGTCTAGCTTTTTATGGTTAGAGGATGGAAGAGTCGTGGCAAAAATTGTGGTCTACTGATTTTTGGTTTTCTTATTCCTCTCTTTTTGTTTCTTAAGCATGAAATGCCTGGCTTTTTGTTGTCCTAAAATTTGAAGAGCTACAACTCAAATAGTTTCAAATTTGGGGCTTAGCACTATCTGTAACTGAGTGCTGTCCTGGCCTGGAATTGGCTTTTAGAAAATAGGTGCCACACTATCTTAAAAAAATAAGCAAACAAGGTGTTACACGGAATATATGTCTACCCGGAGTATGGTAATCTCTCTGAAGTACAGGTTTGTTTGGTGGTAGATTGAACAAAATACAGTGATTTTTGTGATTCCTTTTAGGTCCGAGTCTTTTATTGATATTGTTAATATAATATAATATATATATTATATCTATTTAAAGCCTTCTTTTTCAACCTTTTTCCTTACAGTAGAAAATTCTAGTTTAGAGCTGGGTATAATTTCTTAATAAGCTGTCTCCTTGATTTCCATGACAAAGTCTCATATATATGTTGATAGCAAATGGGGACTTTAAAATTCTTTCCATTTCCTTAATAAAATTCAGATGGAAATGTCCCTATCATTATGTGTACATTAAAACTTTAACTTGGTTCTAAAGTATATTTTATGTTTTAGTGTTCTGAGAAGTGAATTAGTTTTCCTGACCCTATGATGTTTAGTTCCTAAAAATTGAGAGATTAGACTGCTCAATTAATTTCTAATAGAATTTGGTAATACACCTATTCTCTTTGGCATATCACATTTTTGAGAGTAAAGCAAGTTATATCTAGCAATAATTTTCCCTATTTGTGAGAAAAGTAATACTTCAGTCCATGTTTTGCAAAATTCATGTTTTATAGACAATCGCTTATAGCTACCTTTTTTGGCTATTGTTTATTATGCTTCTCCTAACAAAGAAAATAAAATCTAATAAACCACATTTTTGGATTACCAAGTAGATTATTTTGTCAATATTTTCTCTCTCCTATTTGGACTGTACACAGACCTTACCTTTGTGAAAAAACATCTCGGTAAGGACTGCCATGTTGCAATGCAATTCCATATCCTCGATCAGCAACGGTGTTCCCAATGGTGTAAAAGGAACAGTCTGGGTCATTTATAGCCACGTATTCTAGTACAGCTGCATCCCACACAAAAGCATAATTTCCATATTTTACCTGTGAAAATGTGGGAAAAAGAAGACAATAGGATTTAAGGTTGGAACTTTAAGTTACATATAATGGTCTAGGCAACATGACTTATAGTAAAATGACCCTGAGTGGTAAATGTCATTTGAATAGGAAGAACAATAAATGTATGAAAGGAAGCCATGTCTTTGAGATTCTGAGTTCGGTGATTTTCATAACTGGGCTTATCTCTTTTGGGGGGGTCCCAAAAGCTATGCCTTTGGAGTCATTACAAGAGATAGTGACTCTGTTGGGTAACTAGGTTTCTAAATCTGGTAGGTTTCTGCACATCCAACATGGGATTATCCCTTTACTCATGATCTATATTTTAAATATGTGCTCACAACTTAAATTGAAGAGAAATGACTAATACTGCCCTACCAACAAGCTATATTTTCTGTCCTATGTCCTCCTAAGTTAATAAATGTGGACTATGGTTATTTGAGTGGGAGTTAAAAAATAAACACCCCTGGACAGCATTGCAATGAGGAAAAAAGTAATTCTACAAACCCCTCTATTGTCATTTAGAGAGTATAACTTTATAATGGTTATCTATAATATCTTTTAGTGAATATTTTTTACTAATCATTCATATCCTTACATTCGTGGTTTGGATATGAAATAGTCCACATAAAAAACTTATGTGTTGAACGCTTGGTCCCCAGCTGGTGCACTATTGACAGGAAGTTAGACCATGAGAGCACTAATCTCCTCAATGGAATAATCCATTGCTGAGTTCATAGATCAATGGACTATTAGAAGGTGAGACCCAGTTGTAGGAAGTAGGTCACTGACAGCATGCTTTTGGAACATGTATCTTGTCCCTTTTCTGTCTTTCTGTCTCTGCCTCCTAGCCACCATGAAATGAGCAGCTTGCACCCATCACATCTTTCCAACATGATAATCTCACCATGCAGACTCCCAAAAGCAATGGAATCAAGTAATCATGAACTGAAACTTCTGGAAATGTAAGCTAAAATAAATTCTCCCACTTTTAAATTGTTTTCTCAGGTATTTTGTCACAGGAATGAAAATAACTAATACATTCATGAATTTACCAAAGAATTAATTATCATAAACATTTTCATAAAGTTTACTTTTAAAAGTATTAGATATAAAGGAATTTATTGAATTCATAAAATAAATAGAACTAATAACTAAATGCAAAAGTTAGTTTATTTATATCAAGAGAATAATATAGGATTACTAAAAGAAAAAACAACACTGACTCAGAAGGCTGCTGGTATATTATATCTTACAAGCGAAGCTTCATAAAAATTTTAAGTGATCTTTTAACAGACATCAGGAAGATATTTGGAAAAATTTAGAACAGCTGTTTGTCTATTAGTAAACGAAGAAGGGAAGCTCTTCTATTTTAGAGAGAAACAGAGTACTTCAAACAAGTGACGAACATAGTAGAAACTGAAACTCTAAGGGCATTACCAATAAAGTAAAGAAAATGATTTCTTCCATTACCCCTAAATTTAATATTATTGTGGTAATTTTAGCCTGTGCAATAAAGCAGGAAACAAAAGTATGACTTCACTCTAGTAGGAAAAAAATCATTATCAGGTAGACAAAATTACTTATCATTATTTGATGACATATTTCATAAGCCCAAGAGAATCAACTGAACAAGTATTCAAAAAATCCTGAGAATTCAACATGTAGATTGGTTATAAATGGATATATACAAACAATTTTCTCCTTTATTAAACAATAAAAGATGATAAATAATCTGAGAAAAATATATTCACTTACATTATCAATACCTGGTAAGAAATAACAATAAATGAGAAGGGATTGTATAAAGAATATTTCAACACCTGATGGAAGACTTGAACTTGCTTCTAGAGAAAGTGTAATGCATTCCTAAAAGTGTGGATGACCAGTTTAAAAAAAAAAAAAGTTGTCCTCAGATTTTTTGTATTCAATGCATTCTAGACAAAATGCTTAAAGGACATTTTTAAGGGACATTTTAGGACTTTGCAAATTTAATTAGAAGAAAACAGATGAGAATCATAAAAAAAGAAAAACTGAAAATGAGAAATAATGATTACAGATGTAGAATATCAAGTAGAGACATGTTGTAAACCCTAAAAATAAAATAGTACAGTACTTATTGGAGAACAGAAAGTAAGTAGACAAGGAATCACTTTTTTAAAAATAGAAGTGTGTAAGTGTCATATATAAGTGGTGTCAGTTAAATTCGTATGGTAAATATGAGAAATTTTAAAAATGAAATTGAGATATGGTTATTTTGAAAAGATCATTATTAAAGAAGTACACAATTCTGGTAGTATAATGAATTATATATAATGGAAAAAACTAGTTAAAAAAGAAAAACATGAACTGAGAAGAATATGCAAGAGGAGTATATTTTTCTGATATTAGAAAAAGAATGGAATATCTAAACATAAAAGGAAAGCAAGATATATAAAAGAAATATTTTATATACTTAGCTTCTCTCTGTGTGCTATTTTGCTTTTTTAATAAAAAGTTTCACTTAAAATAATGAATGGCCTAAGTTCTCAGACCAGTTTATTGTGCAAAGTGAATACTTGCCATCATTTGTGAAAGGTGAACCCCAACCAGATCATGAAGTATTAAAAAAAAAAGTTCTGAAGAAAGCATTCAATGCAAGTACTATTCAAGAAATGTTTGCTGAATAGTAGTAGGTCCTGTGTCAGGTACTGTACCTTGGTATTTCTCAAAATGTCATTCTAAGACTACCCATCACAATTACTGTGAGACTCTGGTATTTGTTAGAAATATAGATTCCAGATCTAATCTAAACTGGAGAACATCATTTCCAGATCTAATCTAAACTGGAGAACATCATTCTAAGTGAGGTTAGCCTGGCCCAAAAGACCAAAAGTTGTATGTTCTCCCTCATATGCGGACATTAGATCAAGGGCAAACACAAGGGGATTGGACTTCGATCACATGATAAAGCGAGAGCACCCAAGGGAGGTATGTGGATAGGTAAGACTCCCAAAACACTAGATAGCATTTGTTGCCCTTAATGCAGAGAACTAAAGCAGATACTTTAAAGTAACTGAGGCCAATAGGAGAAGGGGACCAGGAACTAGAGAAAAGGTTAGTTTGAGAAGAATTAATTTAGAAGGTAACACACATGCACAGGAAATCAGTGCAAGTCAACTCCCTGTATAGCTATTCTTATCTCAACTAGCAAAAACCCTTGGTCCTTCCTATTATTGCTTATACTCTCTCTACAACAAAATTAGAGATAAGGGCAGAATAGTTTCTGCCTGGTAGCGAGGGGGTTGGGGAGAGAGGGAGGGGGCAGGGGGGTTAAGGGACAGGGTGGGGGTAAGGGGGAGAAATGATCCAAACATTATCTGTACATATGAATAAAAGAAAAAAAAACACTTTAAAAACCGAAAAAAAAAAAGAAAAAAACCTATAGTAATAGAAAGAAACTGTTGACTTTGAAGCTTCTGCTAGCAACCTACTTTGGTTTTGCTATTCTTTTCTCTTTCAAACAGCCCCTCTGGCTTCCTCAAACCTCCTGGAGTTCTTTCACAATCCTCCAGGGACCTCCCCAGCATGGAGCATATTACTTTGCTCTTAGAAAAGTGTCCTAGCATCATTGTTACAACTTTGTGAACTGTGGAGCTCTGTTTAAATGTATGTTAACATTATCATTGTCATTCGATATGTTGTTTTTAGCAATGTAATGTTAGGAGGCCATATGAATGAATTTTTAAAAAGAGAGACATTAGAACAGTTATAGCTTGTAGCAATGTCAGTGAATTGTTACCTAGTAACCCAAAGCATTCTAGCTTTTAAAAATATTCCTGGCCTTTTTCATCAACTAGCACATATAATTACTGTCCTTTGGATGATTTTAATCCTTGAATTAAAACTATCCAGAAAATCCTCATCAGAAAAACTGAAGTCACTTTTCAAGAGAATAACTGAAGGGTTGGCCTAGGGAAATTTTAATCCATCTCACTAGCTGATGGACGTTTCTTAAAATTTTTCAACTAGTTCTTGTTCTTGAACTTGTGTTTGGATAGACAGCTGAATTACTTGCTCTGACTTATTTACCAACAGAGTCCATGTCAGCAAAGTACTTTATTCTAGGTTACACAGAGGGCAAAAGTGAATCTGCAAGTATCATGTCAACATATGTCAGGCCTCAACATGAGGAAGAAAATAGTGCAAAGTGACATCTACCTCAAAAGTTATCCATCTCTAGACCCTAAAATGGAGATACTAAGATCCTGTGGTGATGGATAGACATTGATAGCTGTTGGCACCCAGCATGTGTCCTTATAACAGTTCCTGGGATGCAAATAGCCTAGGATAAGTTTCTCACTTTGAAATAACACTGAGAACTAGGTTGTAGTCAATCTTTCATTATTCCCACAGAATCTCTTTAAATTCAACTTTACTACCATAACAATCTTTATGCATTTCTTCCAGGATCTTGAAGCCAAATAGGAAGGATATAAAGTTAAGATTTGGGCACTTGTTCTCTGTTTACAGATCAGTAGTAGAGATAAGTCACCCCCTAAATTGCCACAGTTCAAAGCATATTATAGTAAGTGTCATATGAACTGTGTCTGTTTAAAGTAGTTTAAAGAAAAGGGGAACTAATTTTCATTGAGAGGAGTCAAGACAATCTGATCAAATATATTCTGGTAACTGAAATAGTTGTACAAGAAAACCCCAAATATTTAAGTTCCTTATCTATAGTGCCTTAACTGATTGAATACTCCATTGGAGACTATTTCTTGCTTATGCATACTCTTCTAACCTATTATATTATGGAACTTCCCATCTGTCAGATGAAGAAGTGTAAACTTGCAAAGTTATATTTTCATTTCTTGCCACATAAAGTGAAGAAAAGTGTATGTTCCAAGCTGCAGCTATACTCCTAATCGTGTTATGGACTATGACATATTTTACTTCGTCTGAGGACTGCTCTTGTCCTTTGCACACATCTCCATCATGAGCTGCTG